AGCTGCTGTCTCTGCACCCTGTTGCCACAGCAACAGTGGCTAATATTTCCAGAAATTGGGTGTCACATTTGGAGTGTCTGCCATTTTCTTTTCTTGTATTATACACACAATAGCTTAAAAATATGATCCGGTCTGTACAATATGATAAGGGTTTGGGAGAAAATGTCACTGCTTTTTCAAACGAATAGTGAACCACATCCAAAGTACAGAGGACCTCATAAGAACAATTGCAGTTATTAGTAGGCCTACTGAATACAGGCTGCAAATTGTGGGCTTGCATTAAAAAAAAAGAAATGACAATGACAATTTATGATGTAGAGTTTTGTAGTTTAGACAAAAGCTAATCAGAGTTGTTGAGTAAATAAGCTGAGATCAAAAAATACAGATCTTTGTCCTTTGGATGAATTATTTCATAAACACGCACAGTCAATGGCCGATTTAAATTCATCCGCCGTTTGACAAATTTAAAACAAAACAGCATAAGGAAAAACTCACTGAAAGACTCCCAAGCTAGACACTAACTTAGATCTAAAAATATACTCTGACTCATAGATACTAGCCAAAAACCCGCTGCTGAACTGCTGCAGTTGTCACAGGGCAGCACCGTTTCCGTCTGGTTGTTTTGGAACTTTCTATTATTTAAACTATTACATCTTCAATTACATTCTGAGACCCAAACTCATCATCATTCATCATCGGAAGCAGAGTGACATATTAGAGCTGCACCAAAAAAAGGAGCAAACGCAACAAACTAGACCTTCATCTCTATCTCCGTCCCATGGATTTGTTGAGCGACAGTCTTGATGATGCCGATGACAATGTCTTGCAAGCCTTCTCTCTCAGAGTAGTAGTGAAGAATCAGATTGTTCCCCTTCTCTGCATCGGTGCAGCGGAATGAGGGAGCCCTCATCCCGGGATAAATGGTACCCAAGTGGTCATGTAAAGCATCCAAATTCTGTAAATATTAGATACAAGATCAATCATGCAACATCCAGACAACACTGGTAATTAAATCATGTCTATGGTATAATACGTTTGTACAAGAGGCTCGTAAAATAATGAATGAAGGCAGTACAAACAATCCCTAAAGGAGTGTGACACTTGAAAGGGACATTACAAAATGTATTGAAAAGTAGTGGAGGCTGAGATTTCTCTGACTTTTAGTCCCAAGAATATGTGAAAAGGAGCACACACCTACAATTCCCATAATGCAACACTATAGCATCTTTCATTATAGCCTCCCTGCCCATTAAATAACCATATCTTTCAAAAAACTGCTGGGCATATGTAGTTTAAACGTTGCTAATTTGCAAATGCTGTTGGTTAACATCAGTATCCAAAGAGGAGTGAGTCTACCTGCAGGAATTCACGAACATTTGATCCCAACACCCGCAAAATGGTGTCATATCCCGATTCTTGGCAAAATTCAAAAAACATCTTCCCAAACATCTGCAAGATGTCTCCTGCATCGATCTCTGAAATGCAGACAAGATCTCGTCAGTATCTCAGATTTTTTTTTTTTTTTTTACAAATTCTTAAGTTGTAGTACACCACATGTAGAGGAATCGTAATCGCAATAACTGAAAAAGGCATGCTGTCACTTACTGAGGACTTTACTGGCCGCAGCAACGAGGTCGTATGTTTTCCCATCTTCATATATGATTCTAACAAGGAACTGACCCTCAATATCGAGCTGAGCCTCCTTCCTGAAAACAAAGTGAAGCTAACAATTTTGAGTAAACGTTACAGCAGAATTCAAAAGTAATAGATAATCAATGATCTGCCTGTTCTTAATTGTTTTCTATTGGGGTTTGTATCAGAGAAGGACTTCTATATAGAGGTATAATAAAACGTGTCTAATGTGCGGCCAGACAGTCTCAATTTATAATAAGAAACAGTTTATGTATTACTTTGAAGTGGTTTTAAAACTACATTGTTTAACAAGTACAGACAAGTTTTCATCTACGGCGGCGGGTCATTTGCTTCAAGCTCTATTTATACATATGATTTTTTAATGAGGTTCTGATTAGTCCTTGTGATTTCTTTTGAGTAAACAGAAGGGATTCTTGGGCCGGAGCATCAGCAGCCGCCATTTTTATTAGAACAGCTGAGAAAACATACCAAGCCTTGAAGGCTTTTGTAAAGAAAATACGATTTTTTTTAACGATTCATCTCACTAAATGACTGGAAACAGACCAAACATGATGAATTGAGTATTAAAAAACAATTTGTTGAATTTTCAAAGACAATAAAAGATTCTGTGAGAGCTTTAGTTTTCATTTGGTGACTGAGGAATGACATCTTTGAGAACATTTACATAAGGCAGCTGCCGCATCTTTTTTTAAAATGTTTGTTTGTTTTTCTAGTTTTTTAGCAGGGCAGACTGTCGAGGGCAGTTTGAGGCTAACATTTTAAGCATGCTGAAAAAATAAAAAATATACTAGGATATGCATTGGAAGGGGGTGCTCCACATTCTCCCAAAGCTACTTTGGTTCAAAGGAAGTTTACTTTATTTATACATTTACATTTCATTTAATCCCCCATCACAATTGTATTATTGGACTTCAGAGTGGAAATGTGTCTCGTTATTTTATCTGATTTTTTTTTTTCAGATTAATTTAAGGATGTGTTCTTATTGATACAATTATACTTCTCATGATGAATACACCAATTCAAAAACTAACTAGGATTTTAAAGTTGAACATTAAATAAAACATTCCAAAATGATTAAAGTGACATTGAACTTAACTTATCTTTGGGATGGTGGGACTCACTCATGACCTTAGTATTCATAAATATTTTATATAAAGAGCGGCCTTGATACCCTGAAGGATTCTTCTAAGATACGTGCTTCTTATTTTACTCTTTTTACTCTATTTAAATTAAACGCTCGAATAAGTCGTTTCAAGTAATATCTTGAATCCATCCAGGAGCATATAATTGTGACACTTTCATCAAACAAATGTTTTAATATGCATGCAATGACCCTCTCGTCCAACGTGAGGCTTATTGTGGACACACACTGTGTCAGTGCAGGGATGCACAGGGGAGGTTAATCATTACAATAAAGACAAATGTCTGTCCCTGCTGTCAGTGACCTCACTGTACAGCAGCCCTGTGTTGTATCCTTATTGACGTGTAGTTGGCCACAGTGTAACCTATGACACCACCAGAGAAGAATGGTAAACACCAAATCCCAACACTCACTTGATGTCTTCCCACACCTCCGGACCGTAATTCCTTAAAACGAGAAGCTCCAAGGCGTGATTCACAAAACCATACTGTAAAATGTAAAAAAAGAAATATATACATATGTCAATGTTATTTCATCAATAACACCTAGCGTTGTGTACGTGTTTCAATACTATTGGAAGCGTTTAACATACACGATTATTATGTATGTTAAACAGCTAATAATGTGCACAGTCCACTGTAATGAGGGAAATTATTAGCTAACGTTACACAGCGGTCTGCCACACAGGAAATGTCAAACGCTAACCAACCCCGTCACGTGACAGGCATCAGTGTTTTACTAGCATTTACACATTATACAAATTCTTTATGGACATACCATGATGACAAGCGCTCTTCTTTTTCCTCGTTTTCAAGCAAAATCCGTCGGAGAGGACTCAACCTTCACGGCTTGGTACAGATGCTGAGTGTCTCCGCGTCCATTCCCCCTTCTTCCCCTCAGCTGTTAACAGACAGGCAGTGCGTCCAATAGCAGATCGGGAAGGGTCTTACGTAAGATATCCTCAACCAATGAGAACACAGCTGCTTCCTCCAACCGATGCCAGTAAACCTGAACGCTCCACAAGGAGCTACATAGTTTCTGACATTTACCATCTTGTTTTACGCAATGAACTTTACAACTACTAGTGATGTTGTACTGTAGCACATACACTTATTTGACCCTTTTCTGAAAGGTGTATGGCAAACCAAGTACTTTTGTCACTTGATTTAGCAATATCCCAATGTCTTTATTTTCCTTATTTGAGTAAAACGTAGGCAGAGGTAAAACAAAAAAAAGGATCAAACAAAGGCTATTGGGTAAAGTCAATGCATAGTGACTTTAGCATCATTTATGTTTTAACATCTAAATAACAATGTGATGTGTTTGCTAATTCAAGCAACTATATGTTCATTATATCTAAGATGGTCTAACGAGATGATCATATGTTGTTGTTTAACAACAGCTGCTTTGTATTGTCCCTGAATTGTATAGAGCAGCATAAAATAAAAGTGCCAAAGGAATGTGAAAATATCAATGCAATCTTTTGTTACATATTAACATATTTTGAACGCTGAAGGGTCGCTTGAGTCTGTTCACAACAATATTTATTGCCCTTTCACATTACATTACAATATTTATTCAAACACATCATATTAAGGGATAATAGAACATTCATTTTATTCTGGTTATGTACTGTTCTTGCTGAAGAGGAAATGAGTGCCATGAGCTCAGTGTAATACAGTATAAACATTAAAACATTAAAAAGTTTTTAAAAATGCATATATTTTACTTAGGAAAATGCGATCTTTAAATATACTATGTCTAATAAATGGAAGTCTCTGTGACATGTTATTATAAATATATATGGAGTCTCAGCCCCAATCTTGTGGAATGAATTGACAAGAAAATGTATATAGAACCACATTTAAAAAAAACAGGTAGAACATAAATCAACTGTGATCCTGCCTATTTAATCCCGTAAGGCACCTAAATCATTTCTCCATCACTTCATTTGATTAGAGGAGTGAATCTCAGTTTAAGAAGGCTGGAAATCTCCTCAATCTTTGACTAACTTTATCATTTGCTTCAGTGTTTCCTAATCTGATTTTCCACCAAAACACACAAAGCCGCCAAGTTTTAATTGTGTTTTTTTTTTCTTCTGCAGTACAAACAGCCCAAAAGAATTTAAGAGGGACTGGATAAGTGTGAATGGACAAGTGTGCCAGTACAATATTTAAAGAAAACAAGCTTGATTGGACAACATCCCTTTGAGGATCGACATACAAAATGGTATTTCTTCATTATATTAAACAACATATTTAATTGTTTACAGCAATCCAGATGCATCAACTGACTTGTCATGAAAAATGGTATGCCCTCTTAGGCCACATTTAGCATGATGTACATTTTACATTTGAAAGTGGACAAATCAGTCCAATAAAGACACTTTTTTACATCATATCTATTTTCAGAGATCACTGTTTCTGGAAGAAGAATGAAGGGAGTGAGTAGTTCCCTGTGCTACAACTGTACAAATGGATAATTGTACAGAAACAAGACGCATGTTTGACAGCAAACTGACACGTCTGTAATTAAGCAGCTGCAAGAGTAAGACTTATAGGCTTGACAATATCATCAATATCTAAACAACCTCAACCAAAACATACAAGGAGTTTGCACTGTGTTCACTGGATACGTTTACATATTGTTATATTTAACGGTTTGGAGCTGTGCAGCTGCTCGACTTCCTCTCAGCGTCGGTTTTGAAGGGCGCCTCCAAAAAGTAACAAACACCAGGGACGTCTTCTGGGAAGTTGGCCGGAAGGTCCTGTCTGCTCCTGGGGACAAAGACAAACTCCGGCCGATCCTTTAGCAATCTGGCACAAAAAAAGAGCACAAAAAATAAAACATCACTCTAAAAACAATGTGCCACATTTTTTGAGACGAGAGGAAAGACAGAGCTGTTATAAAAGTTAAGATTCTGGCGTTGTTGTCTACCGTTTAAGCAAAAGATATAACACAGCGTTGGCTCATTTAAATCCGACATCCACTTGTTTTTTTGTGTCTTGAGGCAACCTGGAGTTTGTCACCTGGATCGGCTGTGTTACTTCACCTGTGGGTCGTTGGGCTGATGTTGATTTTGCTCGGCAGGCTGCAGGATTCAAACTTGTTGGCCAGTGAGACGTTGTTCCCAAAAAGACAGTAGCGAGGCATCCTCACCCCAACCACACCAGCCAGTACAGAACCAGTGTGGAGGCCAATACGCATCTGGGGGAAAATGCATCATTCAACATGGTTCAGCTTCTCTTTCATTCATCAATAGGGCTATTTGAGTGGGAGCCTTTCACTCCCCTTTTTAACAATATTTGACTAGTTTCGGTACTGGCACTAATAAAGATCCTGTATTAGTTACGTTTCTACTGAAGGCAAATACTCGTTATAGCCCAAATTCTGCACGCAAGAGATAATCAATTTGTGTGCCAAATATAACAGAGGTTTCTTTAAATGAAGATGAGTTTACAAAGTTTTTTTTTCGAGAACTGATATCTTTAAAAAAATGTAAATTATTTTAGGTAAACAAATAAAAATACCAGCATAGCAATAGCATACATGCATTTACAACATCTAAACGAGAGACAAGGCACGGATATATGACTACACATCAAATGGGAAAACTAAGTTGTCACTTTTTGTATGAGTTTTTTACATAAGGAATTTGTAATATATATATCTGTAATAAAATAGAAGGTTTTTCCTTTTAAACTTAATAAAACTCTCTGGAGATACAGTTGATAAGTTACCATTATGCAAACAATTCCTGACCCATACCTGTATTTGTTCTCCAGTAGGTGTCATAACTTCGTCTGAAAGCTCCATCATCTTTAAGGCCATGAGTGCAATTTGCACAGCGTGAGTCTCGCTCTCCTTGTGTAGGCCACCAGCTACACAGTATGCATCACCGATGGTCTCCACCTGAATACAGTCGATGATCATCAAAGATTATTTCTCACCTAGCAACTGAGGCCGAGAGGAAGAGTTCAGAAGCTGTGTGTACACCCTCGTACCCTCCTTCCCTATCGGTGGATCTACGCTCTAGTCCTTAGAGTAGCAGCTTGATCAAAAATCTACTTTGCCGTGAACACAATAAACATTGAGCCAAATGAGCTAAAGCGAAAATGGCATTCATCAAATCTCTCCACAATGTGACTTGCTTAACATTGTGCAGCATAAGACAAAGGGCTAAAAACGGAAGAGTGATAAAACTTAAATTGCAATAATACTCCATCCCTGGCCATATTAAAAAGTCCAAAAGGGTGTTCGTCTTCTTCTACTTTGTAACTGTAAATCTGGACCAGAGAGCACTCAGCAGCTATGTGACTGATACAAAGTGAGACTATTTTTAGGCCAATACACGAGGAGTGGAAACAGGGTCCTAAAGGAACCTCTGACTTCCTAGCGTTTTATGAGATATTTGTCAAACATGCTGCTCTCTCTGTTATGCTTCCGTGACACTTTGATTACATTATCCAACCTCCCTGTAGATTAGCAGCCTTTGGCAGACACCAGAGTAGTAGGTTTGAGCTTTAGACTGTTTTTTTCTAACCCGTTCAGGAATAGTGTATCATTATTTATTTATTTTTCATTAAATGACGGAGGTAAACCTAATTATTCAATTATGTATTTGTTGAAAGACATAAATGTTTTTTTTAAATCAGTGAGCTGCTGTAGTTTTTGAATTCCTAAGTTTTTGATTTAGGTTTTGGACACAGCTGCAGTTAACAACCTTTATTTGTTTAGTTTTTAATGAGCTGTAGGCAGGGTCAGCTTTAACATTAAGACACTGGGGTTGTCTCCGTTATAATGCTCCTTTATACCTTTTTAGGCTGATTCTGATCATTTTTATGAAAATTCACAATATTTGATTTTCATCCTCCACCGCAATTACATTCTGCACCTGGAAGTGCAGAGACGGCATTAGAGAAGCTTTTAAGGGGGACACATTTACAAAGAATACAATGGACTGTTGACTGTTAATTACTGAATCAAATCTGAAATGTGATTTTTAAAGATATACTGGCTACAGGTTACCTAGGAAATTGATTTAGCAGAAAATATTATTTATAAAGGTATGTAATATCAATGTGGTATTGGCGGCAACTTCTGAAACGTCTCACACATTCTCAGCACAACAGTTGAAATAGATTAAAAATCAAATGAACATGGGCGAAAGCGTTCACTCGGTCATCAGCTCAGGAAAATAATGCACAGCAGTATCCACAAACTTACCTTGTAAACATCAAGCTCTCCACACTCGTGGTCGAACATGGTGTACAACTCACTGAGCATGGTAATCACTTGCATCGGCGTACAACGCGAGCAAACGGCCGTGAAACCCACAATGTCAGAGAAGAGCATTGTGACCTGGCGAAACTTCTTGGCCTGCACCGTTTGGCCCTGCCACAGCTGCTGCGCCACGGTGCCGGGGAAGATGGAGAAGAGGAGGTCCACCGTCTTCTTCTTCTCCTCCTCCAGAGCCCGGTGAGCGTGCTCCAAGGCGGCCTTGGCCTTCCCCAGGCGCTTCTTCAAACCGTCCTGGGCTTTGGCCTGTTCACCCACCAGCACTACGTCGCGCAGGGCGTTGTGGATGGGGATGTCCGACAGGTAGAGGCCGCGGCCTGTCAGCTCCTCCAGCTTGTCCACGCAGGGCGAGCCCAAGAACAAGATGACGTTGGACTCTGGAACATAGATCATCTGACCTTTGAGGTCCATGAGCTGAAACACAAGATCAAATGATGAGTCGTGCTTATTTTTAACACCGTCAGAAGGTTTATTTACCTTCCATAGGATGAAGGTATATCTAACTTCAACGAGTTGAAATATTGGACAGTAACTTTTGGAACTTGGAACAGACATTCATGACTTCCGTAGGACGACACTTTTGGGGATCCCCTGGTGTTTTCTTTAGGGGTCATCATTAGGTGACATTTCGTGGTTCAAAGTTAAATAATTTGACAACTTTTTAGCAATTTGGTACAGACATCTCCGGATCTTCCATCACTCATTCGTTATGAAGTAATTGAAAGTATCAAGGATTAAGTATTGAAACTAAAGATTATATCATAGAAGCTGATTATATCATATCATATCATTTAATCAGTTATTACATTTACTGCAAATGATCAGCAATTTTTTAGACCCGTCGCTTAAACCCTTAAAAAGATACACTCTAGCTGGGGCAATTTGATATTTGTCACATAATTAATGTTGAACTTTAATTTAAGTCAGTCAGTCAGTCGAGGTGGTGAGTACTGCTCTTGTAGCTGAGAAAAGTACATTGTGAAGCCCGGATGCAGGAGCTTGAGGCTTGCTGATGCTTACCTGTTTTTTATTGCACTCTTGGTAAATCTACCACTAGAAGACAATTGTTATAGTAAGTGGCTGAACGTTATTATACCGCTGCCATGTATACTCCCCGATATATATTTTTTCTCATCATGACAACCTATTGCTGTGCACCCTCCACACAAAGAACATGAGCATGGCTTTGCCTTTGATGGATGAAATGGTTTGACATTTGCTTCTGATCTCGGTCGGGGGTATAATGTTGATCTCTACCTCAGGCCAAGTGCAACCAAGTACAACACTAATAGGCTGCTGCTTATAAATAGAATACTTTTTTCTCTCTTTTCTTACCAAGACAATGGCCAGAGGACATTTTTCACCTCATTAGTCAGTGACATCTTTTTTTAAGTTATATCTTCCAGTCATTTAACATACCTTGCCTGTGTTATCTGCGATAGAGACTCCGTGCTTGATCCGAATAATAAATTGTGTGTTTAGCATGGTCAGAATACCTGGAAAGGTACATTTGATCTGGGGATACACAATAGAGAATTGTTCTTGGAAGGTAGAGGACCTCCTCAGTGAATCCTTCCTGAGCAGTCTCTTCCTAAGCCCGTGTCCCATTTGCACCAGTACCAAGTCCTGGTCCAGGATCAGATGGAAAGGGAAGATGGTGGAGAACAGAGAGGTAGGAAGGGTCCCAGCTGAGATAGCCCGCAGTGGACTGGGACTCAGATTTTTAGCATCCTTAACCGCAACTGTGTACAGAAGCCTGGGCTGTGGGCTGGATTGCAAGATGCTGTCTTTAGCACCGGCGGGGTCCATCAACACATCCACAGTGGTGTGATACAGCAGGCGGGCAGCAGCTTTGATGACTCCAGGGAAGAAGAGCTCAGTGGTCGGGTGGGGGTTGAAGAAATAGACAGTAAGCAGACCTGCATCCTTGTCTAAGCACAGCACAGAAGGTTGGTTTACACAACTGTCTCTGTCCGGGTTGGGCGGCGCGCTGCTCTGTTTCAACAAGACGTTGAAGCTGTTGAGGAAGTCGTGGAGAGCTCCCCCCACCACCGTCAAAATGTGTCCGTCCTCCTCATAGCACATGTTGAACAGCTCCTCGCCAAGAGCAACTTTCAATGCTTCCATCTTGATCGCTGTCAGACAAATGAAAGGAAGCAGTTGACGTTGTGAAACCCGCAAATCCTGAATTTTCAATTCAGAATTTAAAATAAAAATGACACTAATTAGTTGCACAAATACCTGTTTTGGTTGAATAAATGTTCATCATTTCCACCAAATGTTGTGGATCATCAGTGCAACTGTGATGGTCTGTACCACAAATTATGGGACTGCGCAAAACAAATATCAGGTCAGACATACAAATCACTCCCCACATGTGTGTTCATAATATCTGACTTAACTACCTATAATTTCCCCAATCAGATAACAGGTCAAACATTTTCTAAGCAAAGCTCCAGCCTTTTAATGTTGTATTGGGCTGAACAACAGCCCATATGAACAAATGAAAGAGCTGCAATTCTATCTCATTTTAGAATCTGCAATCAGCTCAATGTTTGACATGCAATGATCTGTTTGTCATTTTTGATAATAGTGTGTTTTTCAGCAGATTTGTGAGGCAGTCTCTGTATCCATGGCAGCATGCAGTACACCGTATGGTTAGTCACAATACATTTAGAACAGATACTGATGGAAACACAGGAAAAAATAATCTTTTTTTTTACTAATATCTGCAGCAGCAGTAGTAATGAAAGCGGTCTGGGTGCAGGAGTGTAATTATGGTGGCAGCTGTATTTAAATCCCATGCGTTACCTGGTTTGATCTGGTAGTTTCATCATTCGGTGGAGGGCAGTGTGCAGCCTTCGGAACTGTATGACAAAGTGTTCAGCGAGTTAAAGCTCATCGTCTGGCAGAAAACAATACTGTTTGTTAAAAGCAGCAATATTGAGATCTCCATAATGATGCTTGTGCGTTGAGGCGGACGCGCAACGAACACACGACCGCGGTCAAGCATTTCATTATTATATGTGAAACACATAGTTATTGCAGGGTTTGAATATCGTTGTATTAAACTCACCTCGGGACATGCCAATTTTCGGATGCTTTCGCCAAGTGTGTGCAGGTTAACTTTGGCTCTGCTCGTCTTCTGCTGAGGCAGGTCCTCGCCTATCTCTCCGTGCACGTCCTTAGAAATCGGCAGCACGTCCGCGGCGGCAGGTGAGCGCTCCTCAAAGTCCCCGAGCTCGTTGTTTTTGGCGCTGCCGGAGAACGGACACTCTCCAGATATCTTCAGCTCTTTCAGCTTCGCGCAGAACATCCTCCCCTGCCCGATTGTCTCTGCTTCTACTCTTCTTATCTAATCGCGGGAGGAGGAAGACAGGCTGCGGTCTCCGGGAGAAATTCCATCATCTGGTGAGCTCATCCAAGATGCGTTTCTTCTCCGCGACACCCGCTGACTCCAACGATCGGCGCACCAGAGCCAGAGAGCGCATACAAAATTCATTGAAATCTGCACGGGCATGTGATGGCAGCGAATTATCATCGCCAAAAGCCAATGGGGGGAAAGGAGCAGCAGGCCAATCCACGCGCACATCGGGGCTGGTTCAGCCGAACAACCTATCAGCAATAAGAACTTATTTTCAAGAGACTCCTTGCGTGCGTTGGACTTTGTGTTGTTCATTTTAGGCCATTGCTTTATATTCCATTGTACCAGACTGGTCCTCTCATAAACAAAGAAGCATTATATTCTCATGGGGCCATAAAGTGCGTGTTAGTTTGCTGCTTGGTGCTTTGTTCGTGGATTTTATGGAGATACTGTTCTCCCCACAGTTCTACAGGATTGTTCAGTAAATCTTTTTTATTTTACATGATATTATCTGATCATTTAAATGATATAGTGTGGCTACTTTATCTCGGCCATCTCTTACAGGTAACCACAAACACACACTCACACACACTCATGTCTGTAAATTACAACTTTCCTGCTGTATTTTCAATGTAAAATACCTGTAAATTGACGATTTGGCTGATGTTTCAACCCCCCACAAAACGTTTGCTATTCATTTTCACTAACAACGTTATTGCTTTAGGACTCTAACTAACCATTTTATTGTCAATTAATTTTTTCAACACTTTCTCCAAGATGACCTCTCAAATTAGATGGACCAGCTAATTGTGGCAACTTCTTTTAAAATAACCTTAAAGGGGATCTCCACCATCTATACCCATCGCAATATGTTTACAGGTCTTTGAGAGTTTAGGCCATCATGGGAAAGGCATGCTTTTTAACAAAAGTCCCAATGACTGATATCTGTTGAATCATTATCTGTCAAACTACTAATTTATGTCTGATATGAAGAGGGGTCAATTTGTTTGCTTCAGGACCTTTAAGGAAATGGTTTAGTGATTATTATTATAGACTACAGTACAGGATAATTTATAAAAGTCATGTCATGAAAAGTTTTCACTGGCCATGATGAGGCTGGAGCACTGCTTGTTGGCCTTGTTTGGTCTGAAAAAAGCATTTAGTCATAGGGAGTTTTGTCATTTCTTGCAGAATAACTCAGCATGCTGACAACAAGGTCCATGCGGGACGTTTTACCACATAACAACAAAAAGTTTATTGTCGATGGAATCCTTTCATTAGGCTCTGAGGTGGCCACCCTAAACGCTTAAACTGCCCATTTTGAGATGTGCAAGTTATTCTGTTTAAGGAAGCTTTAGACAAACGGCCAACCGCTGACAGAAATATGACTGGGTTAAGTCTTCCATTTCCTTATTGTACATCAATTTTCATGTATTTGTTGAGTAAAACTGTATAAATACAAAAATGAATCATGGTTTATCCTTGAGTGTTTTCTTCTGTTTCATTTTATTTTAATGCTCAAATGTATTATGGTTTTATTCAGCATAAATCAGCTAATTGTGAAACTTGAGTCACTTAAAACATGTGTAGTATCTTGGTTGAATATGCTTATTCAGAAATCAAGCAAGATTCAATTAGTTACAATTTAAGAGATACATTTATACATACATTTCAGGAAATGGAATCGAATCAGACTCCTCCTGCCCATCTTACTTCAGAGCGACTTAAGGCCTGCCTGCATGTAACGTTCTCTGCTGTATTTTTCAATAACCCGCCTCGATGTATTTACATGTTTTATGAGTGCAGTTCACATTGTGTCACACCGTAGTTAGCAATTTTTTCTAATAGGCCAAATCTTGCTTATAAGAGACAAATACATGATCTTTTGATGTATTTATCAATCTTATTATATGAGTACTTTAGTCATGTAAATCAAAATCTTAAGCGGTATCAAACTATGACTTGATAACTTTGAAGGATGCTTCAGGATGATTTCTTTGTGTCTACTAACTGCCGTTAAGTGCAGCCAGTTTAGTTGTGATTCTGTTTTTTTACAATGCGCAAATTTGACACAAAGTTAATGTCGTCCGACTCCAACATTGCACATCATAGTAAATATTGTAAGTGTGGTTAATAGAAAAAAAAATTATGTGGATATCAATTTTAAAATACATTGGGCTCATTAGTAAAGAGCTCATTAATTGTATATTCCTAATTCTTGTAAATTAAGTTTATTGCATAATTTAGGTAAGAACAATAATTAAATGTAGGTCGAATGGAGAGCAAGCAAGAAGTTGCATGAACAGTGTTGAAGAGCTTTTTTCTTCTTTCTGTCATTTCTGGGTGAGTCCTTAATGATGATTGAGGTTTAATGATTTGAGGCTTTTCCACATTTTACAATTAGTTATCTATCATTTATCATGCTCTTTTTAAGTAATCAACATAGTTATGTTGCAAGAGGCATTAGTAATATTGTTATTATTGTTAATGAACACTTTTTAAAATTCTGTCTTCTCTCTCTTTCTCTCTCTCCCCCTAAAAGCTGATTTTTATTTTTTGTTTTTGAATGAAACAACTAAAAACAATTTTAAAGTCATGAGTCCAATCCATTAGCAAAGTACTCCAAACCTAAATGCTTATGTCCATATAATGAATGTACATTTATAATGTGAATTTCTACAGTGTCTGTCATTTATTCCTTCTCATACACAAGGACCGCAGTGCTCCGTTAATGATAAGTACAGAGAGATAGCTAATCTCATCACAAATCAAGCGCAGAGCTCTAAAACCACACACACTCAACAGCGTTGAAGTCAGACAGTTACAATGTATATACTCAATCTGCACTTAGTTTAACAAGAAGAAAAGATTTATTGAGTCCGATTGCAACATTTGGGAACATAAAGCCTTTTAAGAGATACTCACAGTAAACCTTTTGTAATGTTGCATTTGTACACTGGTAGATTCACCAGTGGACCTTTTTAGGTGATATGGGTCAGACTGGTCCACCAAACTAATGGGCACACAACACAAACTAATGTTTTCATTATTTTTAAAATGAACTTACTTCACAAAGAGGCAATTTTGTCTGTATGGTCAAGTGCTAATACAATCAAGCCGTGTGCACTGAACCTGTAAAGTGTGTTTATTCAAATTGTACTTACAATCTGCTACATGCAGAAGATTGATTTTAAATGCATGTGTGAGATGCTCCCGGTTCTCCCAACAAACCACTGATTATTTTATACAGAAGTCACAGAAGCAACGTCAGAACCAAACATAAGTGACCTAAAAGTTACCTGAATTTCAGATCTGCATTTGGCAATGTGCTTTATTTGACTTTGTAATAAAGACTAATGGTGATATATAACTTATTTTATTTACATATAGATGGTAGCAGGGCTTTGAAAATGTTTCAGCAGATGTCCATGAAGTTCGTCCATAACTATTATTCACAACCTTGTCCTTTGCTTGGTGCAAATCAGTTCATCATGTACTGGTATTTGTTTTGTCTACAAGTACAGCGTCTCATGATCATTATTTTTTTTCAGTTGTTAAGGTCAATAAGTTTTGGTGGAGAGGTTTTGCTGCAACCGTTATTTTTGTAAAGCTCCCACTTTGACATCCGTAAGAGCTACAGCATCTCTAACCCGGAGTCCACTCACACTGCCTGGCCTATCACGCATGGCTGCCATGTAATAGCCTGAAGCAAACAGGCACTTAGAAACAGGGTTTTTTGTATGTTATGTTACTTCTTACCGTTATAGTCCTTTCATTATTTATCCAAGTATTAAACAAAGTTAATTTATCCATATAAATGGGATAACAATAATATAAGAATGTTGACGCTTGTTTTCTAGTCGGGTGAGACAGGCATTGATGCTGGAATAATCAGATATAATATGCCTCACTCGATCCTAGCAGAGCAGAACCAGCTTTGAGATATACGTGTACAAATATTACCGCTAATGGAAATTTTTATAGTGCAGTCATGTGAGTGAGTTTAAATGTCTGGCGAATTTTTGAAGATACAGCACCAATAGACCGACCTTTATTAGTGTTATTATGATTGTTACACATCAAAACTACAATGACACAATAATTAGTAGCAAAAGCACAGAATGGTAAAAAAAATAAATAAAATTGAACTAAGTATTTAAAAAACGATGACCACCAGAGTGTAATCAGTAAAAGTACAAATTACGAGCTACCGCGAATGCAACATAAATGGGCGGGGCCATCGTGGTCCAATAGAATGCAGCAGCCAGAGACACGTTGACCAGACTGTAACTGACATGTCAGCCTCCTGCGACAACAGCTAACGTTAGCTTAGTATTACTGGACTCCACTATGGTAACGAACGACTGATACATTAAATCCCTTTCTGTTCAACTTTATGTTGTACCAGATTACTCACAGCTGAGGGCGGCTGTCTACATAAACGTGTTGGATAAAAGCGTCAGCTAAATGGCATGTAATGTAATGTAAATACTGCTAGGTTCGCTCAGGTTGTTTAAGGTAACATTACATTACATTACATTACATGTCATTTAGCAGACGCTTTTATCCAAAGCGACTTACATTACACTTTTAAACCCATGGCTTTTTCACATTTTTGCCCGGGGAGCAATTAGGGGTTTGGTGTCTTGCTCAGGGACACTTCGACGTGGAACATGGGGCAGCCTGGAATCGAACCAACAACCTTGTGCTTCCCAGCACACCTTCTCTAACCCCTGCGCCACGACGACCCCGTAACGTTACTTGTCTTGCGTCATCACAGGTTGTTTCGGACTCACTGTCTTCCGACAGAGGGACCATCCTTCGTGTCAGAGGGCCGCTGGAGTTCAAATGTCACTTAGTAAGCACAGATGGTACGTTCATAGACATTTTAATGCTACTAGATATTTTAATAATCAGGTTATTGAGCCGTTTAAGTAGAACTAGCATGATTTCGGGTCCTATAGTGCCTCCCTGCTGTGTCCCTCTTGCATGCTTTAGGATACACGTTATGTCTTACCAACAATACATGCTATCCAAGAAAATCATCTACAAACCCAATATGTAACTTTCCTAAAACCAGCTTGACTTTGGTGTCCTCAGTGACCAGTATTTATTTTAAGCAAAAAGGTGTTGACACTGTGGAAAGAAGCTTGTATGGAAGAAATGGGTCAAAAAATGCTTTTGGTGTTATTCAAGTTGTGCTAAAATTAATCCTTGTTCATAACGTACAGTGTCACATAAAATATATGTATTAGTTGTCTTCACATTGACTAAAAGATCAAATGCATGAATAACTCGTGGCAGAACAATGCAATATAATGCAGCAATGGCAATGAACTAATATTCTCTGTCCGTCTTCTTTCAGCACGGCACATGCTCAAAGTCATCTCAAGAACATTTGAGACGCTTAAATCTCAGGTCAAATCTGAATCCTGTGTTCTAACAGTCTGTGACAGTCCTGTTATTATTTGGCCAAACAAAGATGTCTACATAACACCTCAAGAAATAACTCCAAACGCACCATGTGATGATATACTTAAATGGATTCAGTAAGTCCACTTTTTTGAAATGTTGTATTTTTTGTATAAAACCATCAACTTTTTGTTACTTGGTCTGAATGATTTTTTTTTTGTATTCCAGGTCAGATGAACAAGATCCAGCTGGCTTGAGATCTGCAAAAAAGAAAAGCAAAAAAAGTTCAGCAGCAGTACGTACACTTTATGTTTATTGAGGTGTATTTTGCAAAAGGTACTGGACCAAAGGTAGTCCCCTAACCTAAGTATCTCCCTCGACACCGTAGTACAATTACGCTATTGGACGTAAGTACAATCAACGAATCATATTCAGCGCCTGCCTGATGTTGTTCATCAGCAGAGTTGGCCTTCACTGCGAATTAAATATATAGTCATTCAAATCTTCCATCTGGTTGCCTCCAATCAGGGTGCAGTTTTTCAAATGATTACTTCAGATGTCTTGTATTGTCCGACCAATAGTCCCAAACCCAGAAGTGAAAGAAAAAACAGCAAATACTCATGAGAAGTAGAACCAGTTATTATTTAAGATTTTTTTCTAAATGAATTACAGAACCAATCAATGAATTGAACCTAAGAAGGTTCGACCAATTCCTTATTGACCGGATGGTGTCTGTGTGCCTGTGCTTGAATGTAAATTCACCTTTGTTATTCAGAGTGTGATTAACCTTCGCCTGATGATGGAGGCGACAAAGACGGGCCCTCTTTCAGCCCCGATCCTCAGCAGAACCGTCCAGAAATCCCACTTCCTGTCTACAACTTTCCCTGTGGACTGCGTCGTCCGTACCACCGTTAATGAAACAATCAAAGAGTATGTCTCACCTTGATAATAGGCTATATTACTCATAAAGCTACATAACTTTGCTGTATTGGTTTGAGTAAACTTATTCTCGCCACCATGAATAATTCTGCTAATTTTGAAGGATTTTTCTCCTGGCGTTGCAGTGCCTTTGAGCGCCTGTTGAAGGCGCTGACTCATCAGCTGTGTGAGATGGAGAAAGTAACCTTGCAACACACAAAGGGGACCACGCTGCTGGTACCTGAACCGCTCCACTTCCTCCTGCCAGAGCCAAAAGGGCTAGTGACCGTGGTTTACCCTGCAGGAGTGCCTGACAGCCAACTGGAGGCACAGCGGAAGGTAAGTCTTTAAATTCCCAAACAAAAAGGCCAGAAGTAGCAGAAGAATCCTCGGGTTCAGGAAGTCCAACTGTTTATCCAACAGACAGTGGATTCAACTCATTCTTGTTGCATGAAACATTGGCATAATAACAGCGTGAAATATATATTTTTTACATTTGTTTTTCATTTTATTGTGGACAAAATATGTCTGTGCAGGAACTACATCAACAGTTCGAGCTACCGGATGACTGGCCCTATTTTAGAAGAGCCAATACTTACCACTTTCCTAATGAGCCCTACAAAGATGGTTACCTCCGAAACCCTCATCTGGTCCTCACACATCCCACGCTGGACAATGGAAAGGTGCGTTTTATCACCGGATTAAAGGCTGTCTCACTCCATCTCCTCTTTTGAAGAAGGATATTATGTCGCGCTGTGCTTGGAAATTGTAATCTTGTCTGACGTGTGTGCGTTCTCAAGGTGTACTTGGTCCAGGGAACCTACAGCTATCACCACTACATGCAGGATCACACGGATGACAACGGCTGGGGCTGTGCTTATCGCTCCCTCCAGACCATCTGCTCCTGGTTCCAGCAGCAGGGCTACGTAGAGCGGGCCGTGCCCTCTCACAAAGAGACCCAACAGGTACAGTCGTGCTCCTGTAAATATGACTACCACAATAGCATGGACGTGTTGAAATGGCCCCTCCCAATGGGCTCTCCCCTTTGCAGGCTTTAGTGGATGTTGGAGACAAAAAGGCATCCTTCGTGGGTTCACGCCAGTGGATCGGATCCATTGAGGTTCAGGCTGTTCTGAACCAGCTGCTTGGGGTCACTTCCAAGATCATGTTTGTGAGGTGTGTTCTCAGACTCCTATGGATAGCAACCTTTTTTGAAGATGTAATCTAAAGTTAAATGCTTGTTCGCTCTAGTCAAGGCTCTGAGCTGGCATCAAAAGGCAGAGAACTGGCCAACCACTTCCTTACTGAAGGGACCCCCATCATGATTGGTAAGATGGAAGTCCAAAGGGTTTCACAGCAAACATTTTCCAACTTTCAATCAACTTACAATCTTTTGCGTAAAAAAGTAATTGCATCTGCGATATTAGTTCCGTATCGCTAACACAGCTTTGGTTTTGCAGGAGGTGGAGTTCTGGCTCACACTATTCTAGGTGTTGCGTGGAGTGAGACCAGCGGGCAGATCCGCTATCTCATCCTAGATCCACATTACACGGGAGCGGAGGACTTACAGGTCGTCACAGACAAGGTCAGTGTCACAATCATCTACACTGCCTGCGTTTCTCTCTGTAAAGTACACATTTTCACGTGCCGCGCTGTGTTGAATTGAGATAAATGTTATCTTTTTCCAGGGCTGGTGTGGCTGGAAAGGAACAGATTTTTGGGATCAAACTGCTTATTATAATCTGTGTCTTCCTCTGAGGCCAAAGGTCTTCTGACCTCTCACAACTTTCATCTGATGTTTGTAAAACGTTCAATAATTGCAAATTTGAGTAATTCCTATAAAATAATCTAGAAAATGACTCATGAGCTACGTAAATCATTGTTTAAGCAACAATGGCACAGAAAGAGATGGAGGTCATTTGTTTTTGAAAAGACAAATTGATCACACCATGTACTGTACTTTCTGTTCTATTCTGTCTATGACCAGTTGTCTACTGGAGCTCATCATACAAACATATAAACCCTGCACTAATCTGTCCTGGTTTTATTTACTTTCTTATTAAAACCTCTCCTAAGTTTTTATGAAATCATCATCCATTTAAATAAAAGGGAACGGGTTCTCTTAATCTAGAAGGATTTGACCAATTTGATGGAATGTCTTTGGGTTTTAGACTGTTGGTTGAATGAAATAAGACATTTGTAGACCTCTCCATAGACTTAGGTAACAATATAATAGACTTATTCAAAAAACGTTTTAAATGATATTGGCAATGCAATAATAACTAGTTGAAGCCTTTTTACAGACAACCAAATAAAAAAAGCCCAAAACATAGATAAATATATGCTGGTGAATAAATTATAATAAAGTCCTCATTTCTCCCCTGGAAACATTTAAAGCACCTCCAGGGTCCCTTTCTGAGAACTTTTTGTTTGTGTGCACGGCCCGTCTAATACAGCAGATAAATGGGAAAAAAAATCACTCCTCCTAATTGAGTTTTGACAACCAGTCAGTTGTCAAAGTCAAAGCAAAGCTTTTCTCTTCTCGCATAAATCTCTCAAATTAAATATTAAGTATTTTCTTAGAAGTCTTTAGAGCTTAGACGGGAAAGTTCATTTTCCAGAAACGTATTGTCACTCTTTGTGATTTCTTCTCCATGGGCTGATTGTGTAGCTGGGAGTGCCACAGAAATAACCCCCACTCAATCCCCATCTCTACCCATCCGGCATAGACATGTAAATTCTATGACAGTGACCAGACACAGGTTTATACGATAGATTCACCCAAGACCTATTGTCCTGGGGCATTGGCATTTCATTAGTGTGTGTCACTTCTAGGTCTAACAATGTTATTAACAGAAAACCCGTGACTAATTATAATGTCAGGGGACGCGCCTTCAGATAATCCCCTTTCTTGCTAGTGGGTATGCACTAGGGGGAGCAGTTACTTTGGTATAATAGATCCCAAAGGCAAAACTAAATGTCCTCTAGTCTATTCCTCTCTTCTTTCTGGTTATTGATGTGACTAAGTTGTTTAGACATTTAGCTGAAAAACACAAATCACAGCAGTGTGATTTATTTTCATTTCTTTCCTCTGTAAGATTGTATACTGTGTATATGGTGCTGCTGAGAGGCTGACAGTTACCATGTTTTACTGCTTAGAGTTAACAGCCTAAGCCCAATTGGACTATAAAATGTAATTTCAGTTCTAATTTGATGAAATATTTTGTGTTTACAAGGATTACTGCTTCTGACTAGTGAAAATATTAATTCTCTGACACGTTTGGAAGAGGAAGGGTAAACAAAGGGGTGTGTTGTTGCTTCCAATCTGCAACCTCACCAATGAATATCACACACTGTTCCTTTAAAGGCTACAATGTAACTATAGTCAACAATATGTCAACAAGGCAGAGCATCAAAAGAAATATGAGCACAATTTGCTTTAAAAAACACACAATGTATATAACTATATGATATGTATATGGATGTATTTAGTCATTACTCCGTATGAATATTGAATATAATGGAATTAATACATTGTCTACTAATAAATGAATATCACAGTTCTGTCTATCTATGCAATTAAATTGTTACTAAGAAGTTCGTGGAACGAGATAACGTGAATGTGACACGTGACGACCCCCTCGTTTGAATTTCCGTTAACGCGACTCTTTCTTTATACGACTCTGAGCCAATGGGTTGCCATGTTAAACCGTTGCCAGGAAGTGACGTCGCTTAGCTACCAGACACCGTCACGTTGACGAAAAGGTAGCCTCTCCTCTATCCCGCTAAAGAATATTGTTTTTCAGTGAAGCTTTTCTTTACATTCAAACTGCTTCTTGAAGTAAATGCAACTGTAACGTGACTGTGACGATTTGCCAGGTAATACTTTGTTGTCTTTCAGCTAAAGTTAGCTAACCGAAGCAGCTAACGTTATCTAACACAGTTGGACTAAGATGACGTTAGCTAATTTAGCTAATATACTCTAGCCAACTCAACGTTATTAAAGTTGAAAGTAGCGTTATTGTTTCTCTATTTGAAAGATGCTTAGCTTTCGTGACAAAACGTATTACCATTCTACACGGTGAAAAGTCTGAAGTGCCTTTACCAAAAATTGTGTTTACATATTTCATTCTAATTTTGATAGTAAAACACAGCTTGTTTTTAAACGTTGTAATTTGTACTGGTTGGTTGAAACACGAGTCCTTTGATTTGCACTCGACTGACATCTCCACCTTTCACCACTTCATAGGTTTAGTGTTGAGGACGTCTGCCATGTTCCATCACGGTGAACTAGAAGGTGAAGTGGATCATTCATTTTTCGACAGTGACTGTGATGACAGCAGCAGAGACAAAGTGGAAAACACTGAGAGAGGCTGGAATGCTAAAGAGGAGAGACCACCAGCACCTGAGAGGCTACATGCGAAACAGACGGAAAAAAACAAAGATTGCCCTCCAAGGACTGATGGGACAAAAATACCTCTAAAGCTAGTCAAAGAGAACAGTAGCATCAGAGCAGAAAATACAGAGAACCACTCTCAATTAATAGAAGAGGGTGTATCATCATCATTTGCCTCTGGAACTGATAAGGCCGAACATATGCGTATGTATAACAGTGATGGTGACGCAAACTCTAATTTTCAGTCTAAAAGGCACAACGGAACACTTTTGGAGCTATTGGATGAGGCCAAGGAGGTAGATTGTAAGATTGTGTACAGCCAGAGCTCAAGTGAGTATGAAGAAGATTCATTGCCAGCCAAACAAAAGAAACAATCTCCAAAAAAACAGATAAGAAATCGTCACACCCGCAGTCCATCCCCCGATTCAACTGAGAGCAGCATTGATGCAGACTCAGAGAGCTCCTGTACGAGCAGAAATGGGAGAAGACGTGTAGATTCTCCCGCCCTTCCCAGACCCAGAAAGCCTTCCTCATCCCCTGGAGGGAGAAGGACCCCAGGGGGCTCCGCAGGATCTCGGGACAGGCCTACGAGCTGTACAGAGGAGTCGGAGGACACCGTGACAGATGTGAGCCCCCTCTCTTCTCCTGACATCAGCCCTCTGCAGTCATTGGACTTGAACCACACGGAAGCTGAAGAGCCGCAGCGGATGGAGAGTGGGCCCTCCAGTGGCCTGAGCAAAATGCTCCCGGATGAGGACTCGGATCAGGATGTAGATGAGTGTGAGTGAAAACTGCCTGTCTGTCAGTTTTCTATGCTCTTTGTTTAATACCACTGTTCCCAACACTGTGTGTGTGTGTGTGTGTGTGTGTGTGTGTGTGTGTATTTTGGATGACACCTCTCTCAGATCATAACATAACATAACCATAAGAATATAATATAACATATTACAACACATTTTAAATGAAGAGCTTTGACTTCAGTCCCAGACTTAAACAAATATAATTACAAATGTTTCCATTTTTTGATTTTAACACCATATACAAATCTTTTCAACATGGAATAAAAACAATAACCTCTTTTTCCAAAGGGAGATTCAGAAGTTGTTATAAATGTCCTCTCACCAATCAGACTCCCTGGGTTCAGAGAGTCAGCTCGGAGGGAAACTGGTTTTCTGCAGTACTGGGCAAGAAACCGGAAGAACTACTCGTTCACCAATGATGAGGTGCAGCGCATAGATCGGGAGAACCAGCGTCTTCTCCGTGAGCTTTCACGCCAGTCTCCGGGGCCCAGACCAGGAAGAAAGGAGGGCAAGAAAACTCCCCGTGGCCAGCAAGTTGCCTCGTAGTTGCCTCTCTCACAGCGCACTCAACAGGCAACGGGAACAGCAACGCATCGAGAGGGAAAACTTGGTGAGTTTTGCCTCCTGTCTGGATTGACGCTCAATTTCATATCAAAACTAAACTCTAAACTTTAGTATAGGTATAGACAGTCCTGTCCCTCTAATTCTTCAGTTTATTATTTCTTCGGACCAGATAAGACAAACTGAACTGATACATTTTAGAACGGCAACATACAATAAAATGTAACATAATTGATTAGACCTCAGGCAGTAGGTGCTGCTGGTGCTGCTGTGTCTCTAGAAATATATCATTTTTTGCAGATGGCTTATAGCTGGCTTGATTCCCATCAAATTATTTCTGCGTCAGGGATCTTCACCAAAAAATGTTGGTGTGTCACATGAACGTTTATTTTTTTACGTGTCCTTGTAATTTGTTTTAAATCAATTGTAGAGGAAGACCGAACATCTTCTGGAAGGCTATGCAACTTACCTAGTTTAAGTTATTAGTGATACAATAGGAAAAACGTGTTTATGTAACTTTTAGCCTGTGTGATTTTCTGCAGCTTTATCACTTAATACTTTACATTTATTTAAGGACACTACTACGTTGTCTTGAATAAAGTTTGCCACCCCTGAAAGCGGACACGGACGGACTTTGACAGATGCCAGCAGGTGGCAGGGCAACGTCACAGATTGGCGTTATAAGACAGACCAGCGTCTGCAGCTCTGGCCGCTCACTGGATGTCTTAACTGTGCTGGACCACTTTGTGATGGAAGCAACAACAAAAAAGCACTGTTTTAAATTGTTTCTGTCAATTACAACTAGCAGCCATTGACAGACAGAAAAGTGAAAAGAAGAAACACTTTAATCAATTTTTCCACTGATATTTTCACATGTCACAAATGCTGATTATGGATATTACATTAAAGCTGGTTGCAGTTTTTTCCGGGAATGTGTTCCACTCTTTTTTAGGACAGACTGTTCTCTCTCCTGCGTCCATCTCTCTGCGTCGTCGGGAGTGCTTTTCACATTCTCTATTCTTAGAGGGAAGTAACTGAATCTGCCGTGTGATCGGTGTGTCCACCCCACACGTCACACATGTAAGACACCCTATTAGTCCTGCACAAGTAGAACTAGTTCTGTGTATTTCAAGATTGGCAAATTATATTTTTGATCTGATAATTGATCAATTCTGAAACTATTTGTACACCAGAGTGGGTGGACAGTCTGCACGTAGAAACCGTCAGAGCCCTTTTATGACCTCTGGTGGACGTAGAAGAAAATCCGTTGACTGTTGAGCTTTTTTTGAACTGCGTGGCCTTATGTGCCATTTGCTCTCTGAGGGTTTTCTGCCTAGCGTGATTGTGGGAGTGTGACATCCAGCCACTCGTCTGTTTTGCCTCATGCTGTTCGACTGTGTTTGCTGTGAAGAAACCGTTGTGATTTCTGTAGAATGGCGACTATTTATTCAGATTTTGGGTTTTGTTGGTAAAAATCCAGAATCGTATACATTTTCAGTGAAGGTCTCAATCAAATGCTAGAAAAATCTTTAGAATGCTGTTATGACCTGATATGTAGCCAGACGGCAGGTTCCGGCCGCGCTGCTGAGTTTGGCCCATTTCTTATAGCACATGACCTCCAGCTCGCTGATAATCTTGGGTTTGCACGCTGCAGCCGCCGTCTTCGAATTGCGATTTTCTATGTGGTCTAAGTCAGGTCTTTGAAACCAAGCCCTGGTGAACTTCGAGGTACGTTTATTTTTTTTATTGAAAACGGCTGAAAGTTTGTAAATGTTTCCAATACAGCTTGAATAATTAGACGTAGCTTTTCGAGTTGAACCTGAGAATTATCCTAAAATTGCACTAGAACCAGATTTGTTTTTGCCAACAAAATTAGCATTTGTACCTACTAGGTAAAATAATGTGGTTGTGTTTCTTTCAGGCTTTCTTGAAGAGGCTGGAGTCCGTCAAGCCAACACCCGGCCTAAAGCGCGCTGAACAACTGATGGACTACCAGCAGCACGCCGCAATCATGGGAGCGCCTTCGTACCCCGCCTCTATGTCCACCACAAAGTCAGACAGGTCCTCCAGCAAGACCCCCCCAGGTGGGTAGCTCGGTTCTGGGTCCGCCAGCTTTTGCTGTGTTCAAAATGCTGCAGAGATTCAAGAGGAATAGCAGACATTTAAAGGCAACTCTTTTAATAAATCTCTGATGAACTGATAGTTTGTGTGTGTTTACCTGTACTGTACCTATGTATTATGACTTGTTGGGGTTGGTGTGGTCAACCCCAACCTGCAAAAGGTACAATAGCTTTGTGATTTGATGATAACACAGTTGCTCTATAATATGAACATGTCCCTCCGTCGTTTACACCAGCAGGTCCCAGGCCAGCCAGTTCCACCCAACAAAGCTCCAGAGCGGTTTCCACTAATAACTTCAGGAAAATTCCCTTACCCAAGACGGGTGCAGCCTGGAGCTGAAAACATTTTCATTTCCATTAGAAAAGGTGACGTTGCCATGGTACTTAGCTTGAAGCATCTTTTCTGCACCGGTTATACTCTTCGTTGAATCAACCAACTATTTAGCGATTTCTATTGTCATGCTTAGAAGGTGAACTTTTTCCCCATAGCAAGCGATTGATTGTAGCTCAGAAATATTTACTTTCTGAGCTACTTTGCTTTATTTTTAAGAATGTGCTACACTTTGACAGCTGTGTTAAATAACAATAAACCGTTTCAGAGAGAAACCTTCCATCAAATCTTTCCATTTATACTGTTCATGTTGAAAAGTTATGTTTTGAAAACAATAAAGATATTTTAACTATTAAGTTGGTGTAACGCATATTCAGTTTTTTGTATAATTGTACCACTACAGGTTGTTTTGTAATGGGAGTGGTTGCTCAATATATATTTCTAACTATATATCTAAATCAATGATGGCTGTATTCCATTTAGCTGCTTCAGTTTGCGCATCCTTTTATTGTGCATGATGGCTCTAAAACATCATTTGTGTTACTATAACTTCTGCTGGGAATAGGAATTCAACTGTAGAACAGAGCATGCATCAAAATCACTGGACTATTAGACTGATACATCTTTATTCTTAATAAAATAATGTGTTAGGTGGAATACATGGCTCAGAGCAGTCACAGGATAATGAAACATGGACCAACTGACTGACGTATGACGGGTGGTGACGTCATACCTCAAACCATCACAATATCTCCACTGAAACACCGGCTTGACTGCGACACACAGAAGAAACTGTTTGTGCATCGTGGATATATACAGATTTCTGAGGAGGCATGTGCACCCATATCAGGTATACCTGTACACTACATGCCTGGATTGTAATCCACTACACGCTTATCATTCTATCACAAGAATTAAGACTTAAACAAGTGAAGGCTTTCCTTGTGCACTAGGGAGATCACAAAGTTTATGTGTACTTCTTGATCTCGTCGTACAGCACCAACACAAAGGCGCCGCCCATGCCTCTGATCACGTTGGACCAGGCACCCTTGAAGAAGGCTTTCCCCCCTTCGTCCTTGAGGATCTTCTTCCAGCAGTCGATGGTGCCCTTGTACATGATGTCGGCTGTGGACACGGAGACGTGGACAGTGAATCACAATGCTCACGGAGAGAGCGTATAATGCATCTACTGTATATGTGGCACAAGCATGAGTGAGGCTCACCTCCTTTGCGTCCAGACTGCATCATCATACGACGTCTGACGGTGTCGAAGGGGTACGAGACAATACCGGCTGCAGCGGTGACAGTCTGGGCAATCATCCAGGTGATGAAGATGTGCGTGTTCTTGGGATCTGGCAGCATACCTGCACGAGGGAAGAGTTAGATCATCAGCTCATCAGTCAAAATATAAAATAAACACACTAGTTTAAAAAAATCTGTTCAAATCGACCAGATGTGCGCACCTTTGGCCGTGTCGAAGCATCCGAAGTAGGCCGCCCTGTAGATGATTATACCCTGCACCGACACGTTGAATCCCAGGTAAAGACCCTTGAGGCCATCGGTTTTGTAGATAGTGCTGAGGCAGTTTCCAAGACCGCTGAACTCCCTCCCGGCGGCGCCCTTACCGATGTCGGCAGCCAGTCTGGTCCTGGCGAAGTCTAGAGGATAGACGAAGCAGAGCGAGGTCGCCCCGGCCGCACCGCCAGATGCGAGATTACCGGCGAAGTAACGCCAGAACTGTGTTTTTTGATCCACGCCGCCGAGGAAGATCTTCTTGTACTTGTCTTTGAAGGCAAAGTTGAGGGCTTGGGTGGGGAAGTAACGAATCACGTTGGCCAGGTTGCCTCTCCAAAAGGAAATAAAGCCCTGTTCCTTCGGGATCCTTACCACACAGTCCATGATTCCCTTGTACTGCATCTCTGCAGTGATCTGTCTGCTGGCATGCTGGACCTACAGGTAAAGACAATACAAAGTAATTAAGTAAAAACACCTATACATTTTCGTTTAAAACGCTGAGCAAAGGAACTTTATCCTTGGACAATTTTCCATTAACAGCAGAATATATTGCTTTGTTTTTCATTTTAAATAACTTCGATATCATTCGCATAATATTTTTCGTCCATGCATTACTGTGAGTAGTTGCAGACCTCCATCAGTCTACAAGCACACTCCTGTCACTTGAGAATCAGCTGTGTATTAGATTACATAGTTCAAGTTAAATTTAGCAATTCCCTTTTCACCAAATATTATGCGGCCATCTGTTACATTGGACTAACAATTTGCTTAATAAACACACAAAGTAGCTCACAAACTACTGTTAGGGCCCGATCGACATATGGAGATCTTGTCACTCATGGCAGCAACTTTGCAAAGTCCAGTGCGTAAAACCATCTCCGCACTGACCGCGGACCTCTGACGCGCGCCTTGACTTCACATTCCTACGAGAATTCACACCGTGCACAGCTCAGTTTATACAAACACCCATTCCAGGTTTACATCTCAACGTTTGGTTCATCAGTAAGACAACACCCACGCACACTTTGCGCATAAAATAACGACCATACGGCCATGCTTTTGGCATTTGATGGTTCCATTATTTTACCTGCAGCAACAGCTTCACTCTCTCAATCGGAGCAACAGCTGTCTTGGAGATGGCAGCGGCGATGCCGCCGGCCAAAAAGTCCTTTATGAAACTAACCACCGCGTCCGACATGGTTGGATCGTTCTTGTGCAGATATGAGACACCCTCGCTGACCCAAAGCTCCTCGAGGACACCCGACGCACATCCCAAGTGGCCGAGCCCTGCCAATCTGCCCGCATATATGTGCGCCAGGTATCGCGAGAAATGTGTGTGATGGTTTTGCGTTTCACCAAACGGAGAAACGAGGCGGGATCCGAGGTGGAAGGTCAGCACGTGCGCCATGTTCCTGAAGTCAGGAGAAGCCGGTGACGTTTAAATGACACAATATGTGTGGTTAAATTATTACTAAAACATAGAGTTATTTGTACTATATTCTAAGCAAGTGTTTGCCTTACTTTCTGCTTAACAAATTAAGCATCTTCATAGAAAACGAGGGTGCTGGACCGCTACATATGAAGTGTTCTCTAATAGGAATAAAACAATTGCGATATTGATTTTACAACTATAAGCATTCAAAAATGTATAAAAATAAATGCTCATTTAATTAAAAAAAGCATGATGAGACAATTAAATAAGTTACGTTTGAAGTGGTTTTACCAGGTCCGTCGTCATAGGAATGTAATTACCACCTCGCTGCCACGTGGCGGCGCTGCGTGACTGGGTTGATTCACAGGATTCAAGAAGTTTCCTAACGGGACTATTAAATGAATACAGACCTTTGATAAAAGCCTGTATAATAAGCCAATGTTATCATGCCACAGAGTCTTACGAAGTTGTTCTTGTTTGTTTTCTAGAGTATTATTTAAGTAGTGAAGGTGGTGATAGACCCGGTTTTAAAGGTTGATTTAAAAAAAACATTGAGACTTGATCCTTTGTGTTGCTTAGATAGAAAACTTCGATAGAAAACTGGTTTAATGCTCATCTAAAATTGTCTTTGGTTGTGGTTCTATTTCCCATCCCCGTGCGTCTGTGTTGTGCTGTCTAGTCAGCGGGTGGCACCAGAGAGCTTGTTTACATTAAAGGGCATCGCCGAGGCCCCCAGGGTGCAAATGTGGTACCCAGTGAAACAGGTGCTTTCCCGGAGTTACTCCACACCCCACTCACAACAATACAAATAACGCACTACTTTACTGGTTCCCCACAGGGAAATGTTCTTCAGCTGCCCCCACCAGCCAGGTCAGAGGTCAGGCCCAGCTGCAAGGCATCCAGCCTTGGAGCTGGTTGGGGATTCAGCAATCTTGGTCACGTGAGCACTTCAGTCAGGCAGATGCTTGCTGACACGGGGGCTTGCACCTGCCTTTGGTAACGTCCTAGTGTTTGCAGGTTCAGAGCACTTGGACCTGATTCACAATTTCCGCGTCTTCATTCTGAACCGTCAGCGAATAGCTGGTTTAATGTCGTTGTTGTAAGTTTACAGTTATTAATATCCATATCAAGCTACTTTTGGTATTTGACGTTTCATTTCTCCAATTTTCTGGATTATTATCACAGTGTGTATGATTATTATCTCGGGGAGTTTTGTATTTGCAAATTTGCCTCTTCTAGTATTTCCCAAAAGTATTTTTCTTTTTCTAAATCAACCAACGGCTGCTCACGTGATCCACTAAAAATATATATGTATGTATGTATGTATGTATGTATGTATGTATGTATGTATGTATGTTGGGCTGAACATCAGAAGATTAGCTTCTTGTGTTATGTCTAGAAACAAATGTAACTTGTTTAATGCCGTTGAAACTCTTTTTCATAATTTTATTTAAATCTGATCTAGATTTGCAAAAGTCGTTGCTCAGTAACCTTGGATCTTGGAGATTGAAGGAGGGGTTGTGGGCTTGGATTTGCATTTTGAGTATGAAGAGCTGCAGGTGTCAGACAGTTTCACCCCCCCCCACCACACACATAAACACGCACATAAGCAAAGCCGTTACGCAAAGCTCCAACACCAATACAGTCACTGATTTTATCTGTTAAGAAGTAACTGTGACGAGAATCTCTTTATTCCTCGGGTCCCCTACCGTCTTAGACCTTAGATCTCAGACGAGTAGAGACTCAAAGATAATGGAGATTATGAGTGTCAGACAGGGTTAAAACCGCAGATATTAGGGTCAAAACTCACCAGCCTATCGGAGCACCGGTTGCTTCTAACTCCAGCATGGGATTTAGTCTGAATTTCTCAGTGAGATTTAAATATTCTATAAACTAATTCAAAATGTGAATTTTCCGTTTTTTTTATAGTAAAAATAACATAGTAGTTTTAACACAGCAAAAAGTTTAAATGGTCTGCATAGATGCAGCACATGGATTCAATAAAAGTTACTATCAAGATTTTGTCTTTATTTATTTGAAAATAATTTGCTTGTTTATTTGGATATCTTTGTGCTATTTACAAAGGGTAATGCGCTGTAGTAATATTCGTCTTATTGTCAGAAAATCCCATCTAAAGACCCAAAACAAGTATGTCTAACCAAGCCCTTCAGTTCCTTCTGAAGTCATAAATATTTTAATTTGTTCCGTTAAATATAGTGTTATAGTCTCACTTTTTCGAAGGTCTGGATAGTTTTTATCAAAGTTACTCAGACAGGAGTAAATTCTGCTGACATAGATTGATACACATTTGGTACTCCAGCGAGTATTTTAGGCAACAGGATGGTGAAACTGAGAATAAAATTGAAGTAGTCTAGTAGTTGTGGATTATTTAATACATATATATATATATATATATATATATATATATATATATATATATATATATATATATATATATATATATATATATACTATGTGATAATACAAGAATAATTAACCAACAGAGAACAAAAAGGATGGTTCAACAAAAGCTCAGTCCCCCCCATAAAGGAGCTCATGTTGGCTGTTTATTCCCTCACAATGCTCGATCCCACGAGTCTCCTGGTTAAAGTCATAATGTTAATACAATCCCCAAATCCAGCAGGCTGGGATCCACACTGAGTCCCCCGAGCGATGTGACAGCTCTCTGAGACTCAGGAGGGAGGAGATTATTTAAGTGTTTCCCCTCTTCTGGTTAATTTTGGCAGTTGGCCTGTTTTCAACACACGTTTCAGAGGCTGACAAGGTGAGTGAAACGCACACGTGTGAGTTTCAGAGAGAGAGAGAGAGAGAGTCATGTAACAAAAACATAACCATTCATATTTTTAGGTGATTATACACTAAAGAAAACATACAGTACTGTATATATATAAAATTCCCTCAGACTGTTCCTTTAAAGACACTTATTTCCATATTAAATCTCTGTGCACTCTTACGTGTCATTAGCATCAGATATACACATTTACGTGTGTGAAAAGAAAGTACTTCAACAACACTAAGTGTTGCAGTTGCTTCTGATGATTCAGGAGTTTCCAGGGTTCAGAAGTGTCCCAATGTTTGTTCTTAAGCTGTGAATTTGGGGCTGAGAAGCAGCACTGCAGACGGCTCCTTCACAGATTATCTTCCCCTAATTGGATGTGTTAGATAAAGTAAACTTTGCTCACAGTCCATTTTCAGGCTTTAAAAAGTCTTTTGGAAGATAATGAAAAAAGAGTTAAAACAAATAGAAAACATAGAGAGAGAGAGTGTGTCTGTTTCTGTAATTAGATAATTGCAGATGTTATTTCTTTTTAGATGAGTTGTTGGCCTTCTCTGTTCATAAAAAAATAAATCACCCCATTTAGTAAAAATAAATGCTTAAATTGTTCATTGTTCTGGACACAACAACGTTTAAAGAAGCCAGAACTTTTTCAGAACCTGTTTTCCACTATGCATCCTACGTATGGATGCAAATGCAGCTATAGCAATTTTGTTAACAACCCCCACAAGACAGCATTAGGCCTGAACAAAAAACTCTCATTTCCTTGCTGTGACGTTTTAATCCCCTTCACGTTCCTCCACCTTGTCGGCTTCACACCGAAGTGTGGAACATTTTAAATTGCAGCACTCATCTCTCACTCACAATGAAAGAATCCACTTGGACCGGCCGTCGCCCGAGAGATGCTAATCGATTCAGAGCCGTAATATATTTTGTAGCACCCTCAAGATGATGCTGCCGGTCATTTGAGTGTGAGAATTCATTCATCCACTCTTCCTTCTACGCAGACAGACAACAACCTCTTCAAACATCAAAAACAGATTTCGGACCCTCTTAATATCCCTTAGTCCCAAATTAGTGGGGTCATTTTAGCTGTGAAATACTCTGAATTGAAATGTTTAACGAGGAAGTCTTTGTCACACAGCTTGTCAAGAGTTCAACCTGCAGTGTCTCTATATTGTGTAATAGTGATGGTATGTAAATGTATTGGTTTTATCATGTATATTATGTTGCACAGAGGTTCTTCTTCCTTGTGAAGAGAACATCTTTTGTGTTCATTTTGTATTCAGAATAAAAACACTTTCAGACAGGTAGAAAAACTTCACCAAATTATACAGATGGTGGTTTTTAGAAATAATGAGCTCTGTGTTGTAGTTTCCAGATATAAAAAATAGCCTTAACAAGTAAGTAAAACTCCAAAACACAACCAAAACACATGCCACGCTTAATATCTTTATTGTTTTCATTTGTTCAATAATTATTCATAATAACGCATTAGTGAGTGAAACCATCCGTCAATTAATTGATGAATTCATCATTAGAATATTCAGTGTTCCTGTGAGTTTCTGCTTCTGAAATTGGGGGATCCACTTCTACTCTGTTTTCTGTTATTGGTCTTTGGGTTTTGGACTCTTTTTTTAAACGAGGATCATTTTTTTGTGTGGGAAGAAGTGAAAGGCAATTTTTAATAATAATTTTAAAAAGAAATATTAATTTCTAGTAAAAGTAATTTGTTATTTTCTCCTGCAGATTATCTTTCACAAGGTTCAAAAGAGACCAGAGAGATATTTGTGTTTTATGATTTAATCTCAAATGATCAAATACTTGCCATGCTTCACCCCTCGCTTAATAAATCATTTCAATGTAAAAACACCTTTCACAACGTCACACGTTTAGCCAAATGTTATGTCATTATGATTCTGATGTCTCTGTTGAAACACGGTTTAAGATTATCTGAACAATTTAAAAGTAGATTAGTCGAAAAAGCCTTTACACCTTTGATAAATCAATCTGTTTGGATGTGGGTTTCTCTGTCAGTGTGTGTGTGTGTTGTGCTTGTGTTAG